CTCAGCCAGCACGAGACGGGCGCGCAGAGACTCATTGTCCCGGCTCTGATCTCCGCCGAATTCTCGCACCGAGAGGCCGCAGACGAACGGGCTCGTCACTAGATGGCGAAAAAACCACCCCCTCCGCCCGCCTGAGGCTGCTGCTGAGGGTTGTAGGCAGCCCCGGTCCAAGTCACTGCCGGGAACATCGGCTGCAGGGACACGGGCTCCGCTTCCCGCGGCTCTCCCGCAGCACCTGCCCGACAGCGGCCGCGCCCGGAAGGTGCCACAGAGCAGCCGCGGAGCCAGGGAAGCGGCCCTGGTCCCCTGCCCCAGCAGCACAGGGGCTCCAGCCCTGACCTGCAGAGCTGGCACCGGCACAGCAGCGAGGGCAGTTGGACACCCCTTCAGAGGGCTGCGGCGCTGCCCAGTGCCCGTGGGGCTTTCTGAGACTCTTTAAGAGCTGCTGTGGCACATTTAGTACATGCAGAAACAACAGGAAAGTGCTGAGACAAGTTTACAACAATTAACTTATTCCAGTTCTTTTACTTTACTGTTAATCATCATTTGCAAGGATTTTTTTCTCATCCGTATCTGTTCCTCTGCACATCCGAGTCCTCTTAACTCACCTGCTTTTTGGCCATTTGGCATCACAGGACAGGAGGCTGTAGTTTTCTGGATTACAGGGTTTATGGCCCATTTCTGGTGTAGAGATGTGTCAAGGAACATGACAAAACCCAGCCTCTAACATATTTAAATATTTATTTTGTAGAACCACTTTTATGTATGAGACAGTAGTTTGAGTAAAAAGCTGCATCCCGATATATCCACATAGCTACTGTATTGTTCACGCAAGAAACCTTAAAAAAAAGCTTGAACAGACTGAACAGTTCTGTATCACCACGCAGCAGAATGTAGTCCTTTTTCAGTTTAATAAACACCCTGCAGCTCAGAGCATGCTGCCCCTTTGGCACACCTAGCTTAGGGTGACTGGTGACTAGTGTGAAACATCTGCTACTCAGTTTTACTGCCATCCATATGATGTGTTGTCATTTCTGAAATGCAGTTTGCCACATAATCACTGCCCAGTCCACGCTGCCTTTGGTATCTTAACAAGAGGCTGCTACCAGTGGAAGAGGAAGGAGAGCTCCAACAGAAGAGTTCAGAATCAGTGTTTGAAGACAAAATCTCACTGAGACCTCAGGAAGCTTCACAGCTTACTGCTACAGGAGGTTGAAAAAAGAACCTAACAAGTGTTAAGAAGTATTTATATAGATCCCAGGAATCTCCTGAGCTTTTAATGACAAATCATTAAACTACTGGACACCTCAGTACTAGCAAGCAGAAGACCTAGTGAAGAGGTAGACCACACCACAACCTACAACTCCCCAACAGGCTGTCAGTGGTACCTGTTCCAGAACAGCCACTGTGGGGCTGGACTTTGATCCAGTTCCCTGCAGCACCCTCACTGCTGCACCTCCTGGTCACCGCAGCAGACATGAGGGAAAGGAGACACTCAAGAATGAGCTGCGGGGCTGCAGCAAGCAGCAGTCAGCTTGTTTGTCCTCAGTGGAATTAATTAAAACCATGCTGAGAGGACAGCGTACCCAGGTAAGTGCTCATTTCACACCTGAATACACTGCAGGCCTTTCCCTACGCTGGGTCACCTCTCAAAGGAAGTTAGGGAACTGCTGGAGTCCACAGCACAGCTCAGCACAGCTGTTCTGAAATCTGAAACTCTTGCTAGGTCCTCATTCTAGTCATTAACCACAGTTCCAGGTTATACAATCTCATTCAATTATTCTCCCCTTAATTCAGCCTCAGACTGTAGCACTAAAACAGCAAGTATTTTATAAAGAGTTTGTGTGAGTAAACAGTGGTTTTGCAAAGTCATTTTTTATGCCATCCTTCACGTCAGGCAGGGATTGCACATGGCCAGAGATCGGGCTAACAAAAAAGTCTGGAGGCCCCTTTCTTCCATTTTCAAAATAGAGCTTACTTTATTTAAAAAGCAGCAGCAGGCAATACTGCTACAGCAATGAATTTCTGCCCTCGTGTGAGTGTGCAGTCTCCTTTCAGTGACTGCCTGAACTATTTACTGAAACATTAAGAAGCAGGGTAAAAAAACCCACTGATCTAAACTTTAAGGTAATCAAAAGATTATCTGAAGAAGCTGAAGTGGAGTAACCAGAGCCGTACAATTAAAGGTCCTCACGCGATACCGTCACAACCTTCCTCAGGCATTACAGCCACCTGGCACAGCAAGAGGTACAGCACAGCTGCAGAAACAGGGCACGTTCCATCAGCCAGCTCCAGCTCATCCAGGCTGCTGTGGGCAAAGCAGAAGTGACTGCCATCTCGTCTGGCAAACATTTCTTCAGTATCAACTGTCAAGGAAACAGCCATGGACCTGGCCGAGCACCATCCTCACCAGGCACACTGCAGCTCAGCTGGTAAGAGCCAAGGCTGGCACCGCCTCCACGGGAGGCACACAGGGACCGCGGGCGGCAAGCAGCTCTTACCCAGTCCCCAGTAAGCTTACCCCTAAGGACACAGGGGTTTCCCATGACAATCACCCTAGCAATTCCAGGATTACTGGTGTTTGTGAACAGACACTGTTCTGGCCCACGGCTGGAGTTTTAATACAGCAAACCACAGAAGCTCTTAAATAATTCTGTTCCCAAGACAGACAAGTGAAAACTTCCCCTCTCTTGTCACCATGGGGACTACAGTCTGCTATAGCACTCCAGCTTCAAGGTGATGGCTCTAGAAGCCCCCAGCAGTAGTAGGAATGCTGTCATTCCAAGTACGGGTTCACCTAGGATGTGTCCAAGGACAGATTCATATGACAAAAGTGTAAAGTGGCCTGTACACATATGACCATAGTCATTATACAAAGAGCCACGGGACAAAAGAGCAAGGATTCTTCAGGCTGCAGCTGAACAAACCACACCTCCTTGCTTTTGTAAATAGAGTCTGTCTACCTCCTTTGCAGATACCTCTGGCTGTCTCCCAGAATAACATTGAAAAAAAAAGCCACCAAAAAAGTCCACCACCATTCTTGTCTTATGCAAACTAGGTAAGACACGGATGTCAACGACTGGTCAAGAATTATGACATCTTCTTAGCAGGGCACCAAATAGTGTCAGGGTAGAGTAGACAATGGACAGATTTAAATCTATGAAGAAAAAAAAGAAGAAAGTATTAGATTGGAATTCTCCCTACAAGGAATGTACTAGCACTGAATGTGCAGCAGCCTGCCTAATAGAGCAGAGAGGCTGGGTCTGCCTGCCTTTGGCACAGTGACAAGAGCCGACATGAGAAAATAACTCCATTGGCTTGATCGTCTTACAGTTGATAAACATGAACAGGGCAGGGAGGTTTTGTTTTGGAAGTGGACACTCACCGGGTTGGATCTTGCTGAAGGCCAAACACTCCTCCCACACTCACAACGTTGTGTTTGTTCTCAGGGTCCCCGTAACTTAGGGTTACCTGAAAAGCAAATAAATATTCAGAAACTGTAACACTAGTGCAGAAAAAAAATGAATGAGGGTAGTAGGATTATTAATGAGATATGGAGAAAGACTCCTAGGATGCTGTCTAATCTGACTGCAAACAGTGGATGACATTTGAGAAACGGGTTAGTTCTGGCACAAGCAAGGCTGGCGCTGAACGGCCATCAGCCACACCACTGCTCAGAGGCAACATAGAGCTGACTGCCCCGAAGGACAGAGGAGTTACAGCTGTGAGCTCTGTAAGGGCATTAATCCTGCGCTTCCACCACATAGCTGACGTTCATCCTGAGCCGACACTGCCCCAAGTCTGCCATGTTCTCTCAGCACAGAGGGAAAACAGAACCATTTGGCTGTTAAATGGCATGAAGAGGGCTGCCATGTGACAAACCTGGCAACGAGACTTAGATCTCTGGAACTCCTATTCAGTGCTATTCTTGCACACAAATATTGTATTAAGAAATTTTCAGGTGCCAGGTACAAGACGACTTATATTTTCTTTCTAACTGTAGATTTCCTGGACTTTGGGTTATCTGTGACAGTCTCAGGGCAACAATGGTCACCAACAAAAGGCCGGATTCAGCCTACAGTTAAATTCACTAACATGAAGGAGATTACATCACGCTGGAATTTGGCCCCAAGTGTACATTTCTGTGCCTAATACAATTGCCAGGAAAATATAACCAAGCAGTCTGTAGGGATAAAAGCTTTTTTCCATGGTACCAAACAGCAAGAGGCAGACAAAGCTTCTGGGTAGCCCTATGGCTCCATCTGCTGCCCACGAGCAAAAAGGTTTCCCAGCAATTAAAGATGATATGATTTTTCCTACAAAACGTTGATTAAGTTTCTTGAGATTCAGACAAGTTATTCTTAAATAACCTGTTATTTAAATGTTTGATCATTAAAAATATATATATATACATATATATATATATATATATATATATATATACACCTATGCCTTAGTTATTGAAGGGGTACTTGCTATAGCTGTGACACTCGTCTTTGAACAGCATCAATTCAGACTCAGACTTTGTCAGGCCAAGACAGAAATACTTTCTTACATGGCAGGAAAACTAAATATTGCCTCCTTCTACACTTGCTGCTACCGTTACTCATGGAAAGTCAGACATTAGAAGGAGATGAGGAACATCATATTTAGCCTTAACGTAGCAGAGTGCATTCCCAAAGGAGGGGACAGCTACATGACCTAACTGGCTAGGGTGAAAGTATGCTTTTACCTAAATGAAGAAATCTGACAGGATACAGCTCTGAGCGAGCCTGTAGAAGACTTTCTTTGCTGAAGAGGGCTATGGAGAGTATTCTTTCTGATCAGGCTGAGGTGCAATTATAAGAAGAGGACATGAGGCTTAACCCTACCTGCTGCAGAACAGACTCTCCTTGTAGCCTCTGCAGATTTTCCAGATGGGAATGGAAGAGTGGGCTGTGCAGCAGCTTCACCTCCAGCAGCCCTTCTATGATGTAGCCAATAGTGCAGTCATCAGGGAGACGCACTCTTTCTGCAGTACTGATGAAGTTACCCAGGCTGCGAGACAGAGCATAGGAGACAAGATGAAATATGCTTTAAAACCTACCAAACACATAGTGATGGAGCTCAGCCAGAGGCAGGGTTTACCTGGCCCAGGGACTCATCTTCAGGGCAAGACCTCTGCTGATACAGAACCCTGCTCCACCTGTGGCAAACCAGAATTTCACGGTTGTCTTCTAAAGAGCAACAAGAAAAACACATAGTAGTTACTGATAATCAGTTTTTACCACGTGCCTGGGCAGGAAAGGGAACTAAAGTTTCTGTCAGATACCACACACTGCACCTGGGTCAGAACAGGACTACAGATTAATTCCTATTTCTTTAGGCTGCTGGAAGCCCAGTTAGCTGTTCTCTCAAATGAAACTATCCTGGAACTGACAGCAGGTGAACCATCAAGTTAGCAGAACTGAGGTAGCACATATGAAGTGGAAAACTACAGTCCCACTCCCACCCAGTTCCATCTGTCCCCTGGTCGTTCTAGCCAAGGGTCAGAGCCACCCCAGTGTTCCCGAGGAAGTCAAAGATGGTCCATCAGTCCCTTGGCTCCATGTTCAAGGAGACTGTTTTGTTGTGCAGAGTCTTCCCTAACAAGCTGCTTTGTAACTGACTTTCTGGCAAGTGGACTGATTTATCTTTAGGCCTGTCAGTACAGGTGCCTAGTGGGGATATGTATCCTGTGACAGAGGCTGTTTGCTTTCACTCCTTGGAAACTTGGAAACCACTCAGTACTGGGAACACCTTGTACACCCAGAGAGCCGCTGCCACCCATCCAAGGTTGGTTCAAGGTGATGGCAACGTGATACTGCTCTCAAAGAAAACAAAGCAACCCAAACTCCAACGCCATAAACCAAGGAACACTGCCCCCAGAAACACTAAAGGGAAAGAAACAGTTGAGGTGGGGAGGCCCTACTCACCTCAGTGTGAGGGAGATCACCAACATATGAGTAAAGGAGGAGAAACAGATGTCCACACAGGAAAGAAACTCTACTGTGTATTTGCATATGAGGTCAGATCAAAGGTTTGTTTAGCACAGTACCCTGAAAACAGGCAGTGCCAGGCTCCTTGTTTGCAGATTAAATAGCTTGTTTTTATGGAGGCATCCTATGAACTCTCAAGGTTTGAAAAGCTTAAAAGGCCAGGACATCTGTCAGATTAACTGCCAAGTTTGCTTACTGATCCATCGCTCTGGACATGGTCAGCTGCCTCAATGGGATGGTCCAGACTTGGCCGTCCCACGTAGACGTCCTGGCTGTGCGAGAAGGCAGACAGGAGATGCAGGAGAGTCCGGGGGTTCACATAGTTGTCATCATCCACGTGGCAAAACCATCTTCAAACAAAACAAAGTAAGAAAGTCACTGCATCATCCCTTCCACCTTTCAGACAATGCTTGTTCATAAGCACTGCCTCATGCTGTGCTCCCTTCCCTGTGCTCATCACCATCTTTCAGCTAACACTGCATTCCTTAGTGGAGCAGAGGTTACTCAAGTTTCCTGTGAACACAGAACTAGAAGAAACAGTCAGTCAATCAGAACAACGTGTTTCACCTACTTTTGCCCAGATTCCAGGAATTTATCATATTCCACAGACATCTTGCAGCAGAGAGCTTGCCTGGTATGGACAGCAGAACAGTTGGTGTTGATCATATGATCCCCTAGAAAAATAAAGATCAGCCCTTTCAGGTTTGAGAAGCATGTGCAGTCCAAAAGACTACAAAAGAAGTGCACATGTGGCTCTGCACATCTGAAGTGCATGTGGTGCACACATTGAGCAAGCTGCTGGGCCGGCAGGGCTCATGGGTTATGCAGATGCCATGTGAGCTGCAGAGTATACGGAAACGCGCGAGCGCAGGGTGTATAAATAGTGCTGTGAGGCTCCAGGCAAAGGAAACACCCGATACAACTCTGAACCAGACAGACTCCAGCTTTACTAACAGGAAGGCCGTGGGTACAAAGGCGAACCCCGTATTCAGAAAGTTACAGGCACCTTGTCCAGGTGGTAGGTAGGAACAGGATATTCTCCTGTGAAAGGAGATGTTTTCTCCATTTTCTCTATCTTAACTTCCCTAAGGACATGAGGGAAAGTACAACAGAACCAAAACTGAGTTGTAACAGAGAGCATACACCTCCCCCGCGCAGCTCACCGGCTTTCAGGCGCAGCTCCCGATCCTCCCAGTCCGTGAATATAAACGTCTGTGGGAGACAGAAATGCTGTGTCCGTCTTGAGAATTTCAGAAACTAATTTAAACTTTGTTCAGTCGCAGTCAAAATTCTGAATGTTTTGTCTTGCTAGTTTATCTTCAGTAACCATTGGGAGTGGGGTGGGGAGTGGTGGTGGACAGAACCCCAACAACTTCAGCCCTTGCCTTACTTGGGCAGTTTTCCCATTGTGACCCAAAGAGTCTCGTTTCAGCAACGCACCCAAGATTTGAGTTCTCTCATCTCAGGGTACAGACAACCAAGTTTCCAGATAGGAACAACTGTCTTTTTTGGAGGTACCTCCCTCTGCAACTTACCTGCTCTCTCTGGTGCGGAGTCACCCACAGCTGTTTGAGCAAGCTAAAAGAAGGAAAGTCAAGGTGGAAAGTGACAGAGGGTAACGCATCCCAACACTGGGCAAAACTGCGTTAATATGCTCAAATGGCCTGAAATTCCCAAACCCGTGAATGAATTCTACGTTGTTCTAGGGAAAAACTTAAGTCGCCGAACTACTTAGTCCAAGGTACCAGCTTAGCTGCATCAGCACTAGGGATCCTTCACTGTCCTGGGGTGCTTTCCACAGTCACACCAAGTCAAAGTGTTTTAGCTTGGGCTACCAGTCCCAGATTGCAAGTAACGAGCTTCATTCACAGGCAGCGCTTCTGGAGGGGGGCTCAGACGAGCCGTTTCGGTAAAGCACCTTCCTCAGCCTCACAAGGAAAGATGTTAACGCGCGCAGGAGAAATGTCCGTGAGAAAGCGCCGGCCCAGCCTCACCTGCCCCCTCGCCTGCGAGATCCAGGTCTGGAGGAGCAAGTCCAGCCGGCTCCTGTGGTACTTCCTCGTGGTCTTGACGGCGATGAAGATGTCCTTCAGCTCCAGGCTCTCCCGGG